ATATATATATATATATATATATATATATATATATATATATATATATATATATATATATATATATATATATATATATATATTCTGTAATGATTGAAAACTCCATTAAACCACATAGAATGCTGGTACTATATTTCCCAAAGTGGAATTCAAACAATTATATATATTTAATCTACAAATGTAAATAAATAATAATGCCTGATAAAAGCAAAAGATTCTTTAAAATGAAAAGAAGAATTTAGCATATAATTAAAAAATTTAATAAATCTATTATACAGCACCTGCTTACAATGCAAGAAGTATAAAGTACAGTCAAGTTGTGGTAATCATCTGTCCATTTCCTCAGTGAGTGTGGTTGTCTCAGGCTACCTAATTCCTACTACAGAAGATTTTCATCAATTTTCCCATCTATTTGTTGATTAATGCTCAGTATAAAAAGCAAACTCTATTATTAAAAGAATTAAAGGAAAATTAGTGAGGAAAACATGGCACTACCAAATTAAAATGTATAGTCTGTCCATTTACTCAGCAAGGTATATGGGTGAGAATAGCCATAGCATTACTAATTATTAATTATGTTATACAGGTAAATCGCTAAAGCTTCAACCTCAGTTTTCTCTTGTGTAAAGTAGCTATCTTATTGATATGTACTTCAGAAAGTTGCCTCATTGGGCTTAAATATTATGATGCTCTAAGTCCTCTTTTTTAACCCTGAGATACCTCTTCCATTGGTAGGGAGACTGTGGTTTTAATTGTTAGAATCTATCCTTGAATTACAAAATGCACTCATATTTAGGGGGAGAAGGTATTATAATATAAAGAAATATACAAAAGAAAATTATTGTCACCATTGTCCTATCGAAATTACTCTAAAACAAAACACAATTCCAAAGTTAAACTTCTATCTTTCCAGGCATGATATGGTATTATGTATATGAAATCATAAAGATCACATAGAAACACACAATCTCACACAATCACACACACACACACACACACACACACACACACACACACACACAAACTGTTAGAACTAATAAATAAATCCAGCAAAATGCAGGATACAAAATCAACATACACAAATCAGTTGCATTTCCATACACTAATAGCAAATAATCTGAAGAGGAAATAAAGGAAACAATCCCATTTATAACAGCACCAAAAGGAATAAAATATTTAAGAATAACAACCAATGAGCAAAATATTTACACACTAAAAACTACAAAATATTGCTGAAAGAAATTCAAGATGACACAAAGCAATGGAAAGATATCCTGCGTTCATGGATTGGAAGACTTAATATTGCTAAAATTTCCATACTACCCAACATGATCTACAGATTCAATGCAATCACTATCAAAATCCCAATGGCATGTTCTTCAGAAATGGGGGAAAACAAATCCTGAAATTCATACAGAGCCACAAACTATTAATAGCCAAAACAATCTTGAAAAAGAAGAACAAAGCTGGAAGCCGCAAACTTCTTGACTTTAAAACATATTACAGGGCCAGCCGAGTGGCGCGATGGTTAAGAACTGGCTTGGGACGCCAGAGGGCCCCGGTTCGGATCTCACATATGAGGGCCAGTGACACTACCCTCTACAGCTAAGATGTTGAACAACAGCACAACCTGGAGCTGGGCTGCCGTGAGTCGCCAGCGACGGCGTAGGCTGCAGTCCCTGTGGCAGTGGATTGCCATGGGCTACCGTGTGTGGCCAGCAGCCAGCATGAGCGGCCAGCAGCCGCAGTGAGTGGCCGTCCAGAAGCCGGCGACTGATCTGCCTCGCCCGGGAAGAGCGCAATGATGGTGCCAACTTGGGCCAGTGAAGCAACGTCCTCCACAACTAGACTGAAGAACAAAAGGACAGCAACTTGTCTGTTCCCCTTCCCCCAATTCCCGAGCACTGTTCCCATCCCCCCAATTCCCCAATTTAAAAAAAAACACAAAAAAACCCATATTACAAATCTACATTAAGCAAAACAGTTATGGTATTGGCATAAGATAGACATATAGACCAATGGGTCAAATAGAAACAAAAATAAACCCACACATATACAGTAAAATGATATTCAACAGAGGTGCCAAGACTACGCAATGGAAAAATAATAATCTCTTTAACAAACAGTGTTGGAGAAACTAGATATGCATGTAGAAAAGAATGAACTTAGACCTTCCTATTACACCATACAACAAAGCAACACCTAACACTTATGTAAAAAAAAATATTCTAATCCTCAAAAGCCCATTTTAAGATATCAATTTATTTTGTATTCCTCCTAATTTTACTGTTACTTGACATATTTAGTTAAGAAAGACTCACTGAGAGAATATTAGGGTTGATAGCTGGTATACGTACTAAGTAATTTTGAGCAATACCGTCACTGGACTACAGAAAAACTAAACAATGAGAAAATGCAAAGACCAGTGATAATATCAGGAAAAGAGTTAAATTAAGCAGCTTCGAAATAAAAAGGGACAGTCATCTTAAGATTAGATCAAAGTAGAGAAGAATACATTTAGAAATGGAAGTCACAAGCAAAAGAAGGACCCCCAAAAACAGAGAACAAGAGAACAAATGATCATTTATGAAGAGAAGATCCTCTACAACTCATATGCCCTAGAGGTGTTCTTGATAAGCAAACTGCACATTACGGGGATGAAGGGTAGATGACGAGTTGTAATGATGACTCTTTCTCTGCTCCCATATGGACATCTTTGGTCCTGACAGCATGTAGGATGCAAGGGGTAATGACAGACAAGTAGCATTAGCTGGTGCCCCCTCAGATGCCTTAATTCTAGAAAGGCTTGGAAGCTGTCAAGAGCACACAGGATTGGCCATTGGGTAGCAGCATCCAGAAATGAATCCAAGCCCAGTATTGAGCAGCTCTCCCTTTCCCTGCTTTTTCCTTTCTGGACTTGTGTGGTCTGGCAATGGCTGACTATGTCTTCTCTCAGCAGTGTGCCAGGGCCATAAAGGATCATAATCTTTCTTTACATAGCAGTGCACAAGGAGGCTTTTCTTGCCTCTAAAAGAGCAAGAAATGGCAATGGAAACAATTCTAAACTAAAAGAAATTCATCTTCATTCCATCACCTTAAAAACACACCTTCATTCCTGTGTGGAGCTTTTTCATGATGAGTATGCATTGACTAAACAATAAGTAATTGAGGTTTCAAACGCAAACCTAATTTATATGTTTGGCATATATAAATAGATAAATATAGTAATGGATTACAAGCTATTTATAAACTAGAAAGTACTCCAAAATTAAGCTTATATTGTTTTAAGGGTATGTATTTATATATATGCTGTGCATCTTCTGATAGATAAAAACACATTTTCTATGTTACTAAAGGAGGAGCCACAGTATTTTCAGCCTGCCTATTGTGACCTGCCATTACAAACTTGCCCTCTTGGACTCAGGGCGCCACTTATCATAGGCCATAAAAGCCACAACCTTGGATATCTAAGTAAGAACCAGGCCGGTATTCCTTTCAAGATTAAACTCTAAGGAATAGCTCTATAAAATGTAGAAATAATAGAGCTTTGAGCATAAACTGATACTGAATAAAAAGAAGTTGGAGAAAACAGCAGCTAAAGACATCTTACTGGCGCTATTCACGAGTAATTTCTGACAAAAGGGTCAGACAAATTCCAAAGATATATGCAGTTTTATAACCCTTTCTCTCAGTAGAGAAACCAAGCCACACCGGATCTCATTTTTCAAACTCTTGCTGTCTTCCTAGGTGATTCTCAGATCAGTCATCTTGTTTAGACTTCTTTGTATAGTTGTGGCTCTTTACCACTATTCCATTGATGCCCTTGGAGTTACTGTTAAACCTACTGCATCAGTGTAGCTGACCTTTAGTTTGCCTAGGGCACGTATATTTATACATCATTAGTGCTCCCCATTGTGAGGGAATGAAGGACCTGAAATGCAGAATCATGTGAAGGGCTCAGAGCTAACAGCCTGAGAGACAGAGGGAGCGAGACAGGGAGAGGGAGAG